TGTAATTTTGCAAAGATTTTTCCACAGGCACATTTTCCTAATGAGTCTTGGCTGAACAACTCTAAATAGACGGCTGGAGAGATTCTGCAAATCAAAATATATTAAATACAGAACAATTTTGGAATTATGTTGATTATTAATTCCATTTTCTTTCACTGGCGACACGGTGGCGCAGTAGGTAGTGCTGTCGCCTCACAGCAAGAAGGTCGCTGGTTCAAGCCCTGGCTGGGTCAGTTGGCATTTCTGTGTAAAGTTTGCATGTTCTCCCCGTGATTGTGTGCGTTTTCTCCGGGTGCTTCGGTTTCCCTCATAAGTCAAAAGACATGCGGCACAGGTGAATTGGGTAAGATAAAATTGTCCGTAGTGTATGTGTGTGAATGAGATGTTTCTCAGTGATGGGTTGCAGCTGGAAAGGCATCTGCTGCGTAAAACATATGCTGGATAAGTTAGCAGTTTATTCCGCTGTGGCGAATCCAGATTAACAAAGGGAATAAGCTGAAAAGAAAGTGAATGAATTAATAAACTTTCTTTTACTAAAATGTCTGTATAAATAATATAATAGCGTGAAATGAAAGCATTCTCGCTTTTGCTAACATACTAGTTTATTATGTTTGATTTTTCTGTATTATAATTCACAAGCTGCTATAAATGAGCCAGTTGATGAGTGATAAGTAGTGAGCCCTTTTGTCTCATTAAACTAAAAATAAAATGTAAATGGAGCTGCAAGCAGCAATTAATGGAATCCAGCAGGAATAAGAAAACATCCTAAAGAAAACAAAATGGACTTACTGTAGGCCTTGACCCAAATGGTGTTCCTGATACAGTCTTGTAGTCACGTGACCTTCACATGTCTAAATGTATTAAGGCAACAGAAGTTTAGGCTGTGCTTTTTGTCATTTCATGATTTAGAAAGTCCTCCTGAGTACAGCCCTTGTGGCTGTTATGTACCTTTAGTGCCCTTTTGTAAAGATTGAGTTGCTCTGACACTCAAACATTTTGGTTCATAGATCTATGAAAATAGATTTTGCAAGCATATAAAAGCCACTCCCCAAAATGGTAGGTTAAAATCTCATTGGGTCAATTGGATGAGCATTCCAATCTTTGGTCAAAAAAAAAAAGAAAAAAAAAAAAAAAAAACATCTTAATCCCAAAACTTGGTGGTCCTTGAGGCAATCCTTTCACCATGAGATGAGAGAGTCTCATGTGAAATATTAAGTCTTGAGCTCAAACAGTGTAGTAGGGCCAATGTTATGAATATTGCAAATTTATCTACTAGTTGCTTAGCAACCATACATCCCATCCATCCTAAAATTACAGAGAATGCAATTAGCCACAGACCTTGCCTGCATGCAAAGTTTGGTAAGTTTTCACCACAGGGACAAAAAGTTAAAGTTTACAGCAGTTATGCCCCCTCCTCTAGCTTATTTATCTCCAGACATTTATTTCATTATAGTCTGTTTTCCTCAAGACTGTTTGAATGGCCAAATAAAATGTTTGTTTGTTATCCTGCAGAGCATTTAGTGAGGAACAATTCCCAAATTATAGTAAATGTAATATTGCTGAAATTAGATTTTAGCCTTATTAATTTGGAGTTGAGAGGATCTATTCACATAAATCCTCATTCTTAAACCAAAATAACTTACAGAGTTTGAGCAAACGTTAAATATAATACGATACGGTGTTCTGTTTTATGACTCAGTAATGTATTGATTTAAAGTCTTTATTTCGTTTATCGGGTTTATTCATTCATTCATTTATTCATTTTCTACCGCTTTTCTGGGGCCGGGTCCCAGGGGCAGCAGTCTTAGAAGAGAACCCCAGACACTTCCTCCAGCTGTTCTGGGGGAATGCCGATGCATTCCCAGGCTAGCCGAGAGACATAGTCCCTTCAGCGTGTCCTGGGTCTTCCCCGAGGCCTCCTCCCAGTGGGACATGCCTGGAACACCTCTCTAGGTAGGACTCATCCGAAACAGATGCCCGAGCCACCTCAGCTGACTTCTCTCGATGTGGAGGAGCAGCAGCTCTACTCCGAGCTCCTCCGGGGGGACAGAGCTCCTCACCCTGTCTATAAGGGTGCGCCCTGCCACCCTGCGAAGGAAAGTCATTTTGGCCGCTTGTATCCAAGATCTTGTCCTTTCGGTCATAACCCAAAGACTTATGATAGATAAGAGTAGGAACGTAGATTGACCGGTAAATCTAGAGCTTTGCCTTTTGGTTCAGCTCCTTCTTTACCACAACGGACCAGTACATCAACCGCATTACTGCTGCCATTACACCATTCCGCTGTCAATCTCATGTTCCTTTCTTCCCTCACTCATGAAAAAAAAAAAAAGATACTTGAACTCCTCCACCTGGGGTAAGGACTTTCCTTCAACCTGCAGATGGCAAGCTACCTTTTTCTGGTGGAGCACCATGGGCTCGGACTTGGAGGTGCGGATTCTCATCCCAGCCACGTCACACTCTCATTGAGAGTGCTTCGATTGGCCAGCTGCATGGAGGGTGTTGATTGGCCAAACACATCAAACATAAATTTCTTTATCATACTCATATGTTTCAGCTTTTAGCACTTCCAGTATAATTGTTAACATAAACAACTAACAATCGAACTGGCTTTAAAGAATGTTTAAATTCAAGTCAGATTATGACAATATGGATGATCAAGTAGTTTGATCAGAGCATAACTTAAGCAAACGGTTCTTTTTTGTAACTTTCTAAACAACCAATGTATCCACACCATGGTGATAATACTATATATAAAACTGAAGCTTTATCTGCTTTATGCCTTTGGGCAGAATTATGCTAATATGAACAATATGAGCATAATATTTAGACAAAACCGTATTTGATATTACATATTTATTATAGAAATGAAACTAAATTACTATTGGTAACTTTGACAGACTATTTGATTAAAATTAGTAAACATTATTCTGCTCATTGTTTTTTAAGCTGCTTTTGTTCAAAAATATAATGAAACATATTTATTGTGAAATGTTTCTAATTTTTATGTCAGATGGACATTTTGAAATTATTCTAATATGCTGATTAAATTTATAATTTCTTAAATTAGCATAATATATAGTAATATTAAGCAATGCGAATGCGCAGTAGGTAGTGCTGTCACCTCGCAGCAAGAAGGTCGCTGGTTCAAGCCTCTGCTGAGTCAGTTGGCATTTCTGTGGGGAGTTTGTATGTTCTCCCCACGGGTTTCCTCCGGATGCTCCGGTTTCCCCCACAGTCCAAAGACTTGCTCTATAGGTGAATAAGGTAGGCGAAGTTGTCCGTAGTTAATAAGTAAATGAGTGTGTATGGATGTTTTCCAGAGATAGGTTGCAGCTGGAAGGGTATCCGCTATGTAAAACATGTGCTGGATAAGTTGGCAGATCATCCCACTGTGGCAACCCTGGATTAATAAAGGGACTAAGCTGAAAAGAAAATTAATAAATGAATGAATATAGTAATACTGTATACTGTACTTTTTAGAAATCATTGATAATTAGAAATGTATAAAAAAATCAGCATTTTAAACATTTTTGTAACATTATACATGCCTTTACATTTATGACAGATTTAACATGTCTGTGATGAATAAAAGCAGTTTTAAAAAGTCTTACTTTTTTGGACATAATAGTTGGACAAAAAAAATTAACTCAATACTGTCTATAATCACAAAATCAATAAATTGCATTTTAAAAATAAATATAAAAAACAGTTCACAGGGAAATGATATTGCACAAAATTGACTTTTTGATCAAATAAATGCAGCATCGGCGAGCAGAAAAGGATACTTGTTTTAGATCTTTTTACTGGTGCAGTTAATGTATAAGTATAAGAAATCTGTGGGCCCTATCATACATCCGGCACAATGAGGTGCAAAGCGCGACACAATTGTTGTTTGCTTGTTTCAGCTTGGCGCAAGAGTCGTTTTGACGTTTTGCTCCACTGTGTTTAAATAGCAAAATGCATTTGCGCTCATATGTGCGCCCATAGGCGTTCTAGTCTAAAAAAGGAGGCGTGTTGTGGCGCATTGCTGGCGCGTTGCTATTTTGAGAATCTTTAATAGACTGTTTACAGACCAGAACAAAGCTGGTCTATTGTCCAGCGCAGAGCGCGTTAGTTATGTGCCTCGCTTACACATTGCTTAATACAAACAGGATGCACAGAAATACACAAGTATCTTTACATATGAAAAAGAATGAAAATGTTAAGGACATAAATAGGATATAATAAGGAAATATATTATATAAATATAAGGGATTAAAATATTACAAAACATATTATTTTCTAGCCTACATGAATATAATAACCATACTGTCATGCCTTCTTCATCTCGGGGGGGCTTTTTCAGTTTATTCATAACAATTTGCTTTTGTGTGATGTTTTTATTATTAGCAGTATTATTTGTTATATGCATATTTTTATTTGTTTTATTAAAAACAAGCTCAGATTTACCCACCTGTCAGGTTTTACACCACATGGGGCACAAGCAGATTTTTCCATCCTTATATTAGCAAAAGTGGACTCTGACACACCCTTAATACGTTTGCGTCCTGCGCTTTGCACTTTGCGCATGGATCGTCAAAATAGAGCCCTGTATGTTTAATAAACAATTTAGCACATTATTTTGTTGCTGTTGTGAGTACAGACCCTACAGTTACTTAATCTTTCCTGAATGCCCAAACATGACAAATTATTTCAAAGATATCATAATATTTGGTAAAAAAAAAATACACATTGACATTACTAAGCATCATTATCCTTATCACTTTTTTATTTTATTATTATTTATTTTAATGCATATGTAGTCATTTATACTCAGGTTTATATGGTGAATCTTTTGTTGTGCTCACGTTCAGAAATGGGATGACAGTATGTGTGGTTTAGAATGTGTATATGAGACATTTAAGATAAAAGTAGGCCCTAGAGTGGTCATTGTGTTCACTATTCCCCTGTGCTCTCTCACTCACTGTTTTCCATTTGTTTTTCTCTCTCATTCACAGGGATGAGATGAAGTCACTCCAGGCAGCTCTGCAGAAACAACTGGATGATGCAGCTGAGCGTGCAGAGAAACAGCAGGCCACTGTGAGACCCTTTAAACTGATGTGTTAAACTATACAAATACAATCGGCTCAAACAGCTAATCACATTAACTTGGCTTTTGGGGAATGCATGGGTCAAAATACTAATGATAATAGGCTGTGGCATTTTGCCATTTATGTGATTACTCACAAATCCATGCAGTTTACTTGTTCATAGGGGATTAATCAGTTACAATCATCCGTTTATTACTTTGTTTATTTATTTATAAACATGTCAATTCACAATAATGAGAGGTTGTTTAATTAGTGTTTAACATGAAATCTTGAGTAAAAATGTATTAAGTCTGTGTTGTTAGGAAAAAGTAAGATCTTAACAAATTCAGAAAATCTTAAATTCCCCATATATATATATATATATATATATATATATATATATATATATATATATATATATATATATATATATATATATATATATATATATATATATATATATATATATGTCCCAATAAAATCTCAAGAACTGTGTTGAACCAGCTTATTTTATTATTTTATTAAAGAATTTAGAACAAGCAAATATATATACATACAACAGTTCTGTCTGGTTCTCGAATCTGATTGGCTGATAGCCCTGATATATTTAAGTAATATCAGCACCCGTACAGGCTCTTTACCCTTTGTGAATTACTCCGCCCACATACAGCCAGCAAAAAGCAGACACTACAGATTTAAAGTTTAAAAGATGCTTGCTCAGCTGTTTAACTGTCAGATTATGATTTGAATCCGGAAGAAAGTAGTTCCTCATACAAAAGTGTTTTTGAGACTCTCCATGTTTGATTTTGTTTTTATATACACAATTATGCCATCAAACTGTTGTATAAATGCAATATCACACTCGTAGCAGTGCAATATGGCTGTATATCGGCACTGGTGGGGGCACTAAGGCAATGCACGCCTCCCACCAGTGCCGATATACAGCCATATTGCACTGCTACTCGTTTAATATTGGTCATATATATATATATATATATATATATATATATATATATATATATATATATATATATATATATATATATATTGAGTGTACATAACACTGGGTTTGTTTTCAATTTTAATAAAAAATAAACCTAATTGAAACCACTTTTTTTTTTTTTTTTGAGTACTGGACTTAGAAATTTGAGGTTTTTACTATGTAAAATGTCTCTGATTGAAGAGGAAAACATTTGGCTAACATGATGAAGTTTGTTATCTGAACTTCAGATAATTGAAGTTAGATGTTGTCGAAATTATATGTTAATGCAAATTGGTGCGTTACTTTTTGTTTTGTTTTGTATAACAGTATTTTTTAGAGGGCAGATTTCCAAAAATGAAGATAACTGTGTGTATACTTCACAAGACTAGTGCAATGCTGTCAACGTTATTTTTCATCAACTTAATATACAAAATAAATTATAGAAAAATAAAAAAGTACATTTGAAAAAAAAAAATATAAAAAAAAGGCATTACAGTAAAATAAAAATAAATCCGCCTACAGGAAAAATCTGTCTTAAGTAGATCAGTCCAGAATATATTTTTTCTTTATTTTCTATTTTTATTTATTTCTTCTTTCTAGGTTTAGTTACTGCTCTATTAAAGCATGTTAAACATCCCATTTCCTCCATGTAGAATGTTGGCTTCATTCTGCTGTGTCACCGCTGCACTCTCTTTGCTCACCCCATCGAAACTAATTACCAGGAAAAAGCTGGAATCCTCATTAAAGTCACTGAGACGGCGTGTAAGGGCCGGAGCGAGTCTATTCTATTTTAGGCATTTACCTTTCGTTCTGGAAGAGTTATGTTACAGTAATTATGGAAAACTGTGGGAAGCACCTTGCTGACTCTGGAGGAGATACACAATTATCGGCATGCAACTTTTCTTGTTTCATCTCTGTGTGTGGCTGCGTGCAGTACTGCGGGGGAAAGAGACACAGCGGCTCGTGTTCAGAATGAGAATGAATCTCGGAGAATTAGCATTTTGCCAGCTCCAGCCATTCTTTCCATTCTGTGAACAGTTCACCACCAATTGACACCAATTACAGATAGCAAAGCCGATTCACAACCCCAGATATATTCACAAGCTGCAACAATGTGCCCGTTAGGCTCAGGCAATGTTAACATTTTACACTTCTGTTGAAACGGCCCAACGAGCTGTGACCTTTTGTGTCTTTTTATGACAACCTTTATATAATCTAGCTATTATGTTGAGCTGTTAGCATTATGCTGAGACTAAACTGTTTTGCTAAGCGGAATAAAGTTCATATTATCTTATTAAAATTGCATAATCAAAATTCATGAACTGAGAGAATGGTTTAGCTTGTGGAAAGCATAGTTCTTCTAAAATAACAATAAATTGAAAAAAATAATAATGTCATGAGTTTTTCACCATGCTCTCTTTAGCTGTGTTTTTGTGCATAATGTTGGATGCCCCGACTATAAAAATACATATAAACACATTTAGATCATTCACTTTAATCATTACAATTGGACTGTGAAGAGACTTTCAACTAGAAAAACAAATAAATGTTTCTGAAGACAATCACCTGCTGCACCTTTAAGTTGTGTACTGGATGCTAAAATGCATGTTGTCAATATGACAGTTATGGCCATCGAGATAGGAATACCCAGGAACACTTTTGTGTGTATTTTTAAATAATTTTAATAAAATGACAATGTTAGCATAAAATATACACACATTTAAGTAAAGTCAGGGTATTATAGTTATATGGGTTTTATGTTAAAGTAATTAAATTTACAAATCTGACATCTGAATGTTAAAATGACCACCTCTGTTGATCCATATGGTAGGTCTACATTTATTTCATCATTGCTGTCATTTTACAATGAAAAGCAAAAGACGAACTGTAATTACAAGTTCTAAAACGATGTGACAATTTGGAAACTTGTGATTAAAATTGTATAGACATGGCATGTTCAGCTTTAATCTGCAACTGTAAGAGCTCTGCAAGTCGGAGCTCTGAGAAATTCCCAGTTTATTAGTTGTAATTACAAATTACACGAGTGTCTGAACTCTTTTCACAAGTTGGAGTCTCATAATTACAGTAATTAAGACATGGCATGAACTCATTTTAACCAGGAGACCAATCTGAATACACACCATCTCCAATGTTGTTTAAGTCTTTCAGAAATGCTTGAGCCAAAGTCTGTCATCAAAATGATTTGGCTAAATTCACTCAAAGAAATGTCTTATATAAGATTGGGTTTCCTAACAGTCTGTAATACTCCGAATACAAGATCCTGGTCCTGCGTGATTCATAAAGGGATTTATCTGTAAGCAGTAAATAAAAACATACAGTCAAAACAAAATGAATACCCATGGCTTCTGACTGATGTCTTATAAGGTGCTTTAATTACAACAAATCCACAACTGTAGTCAGTCTTGCAGTTTGATCGCACGAATGTAATCTTAGCCTCCAGTATTAAAATGAATACCATTTGATGAACAATATAACACACATTCTCCCTCACTGTAGTAAACACATCTCAAGCTCATATTGTGAATACACTCAGGAAAATTTGATGGGTGGTCGATAAAAAGTATAATGTTAAAAAAAAAAAAAAAAAAAAAAAGATTAGTTATCTTGGATTTTTATTTATTTATTTATTTATTTATTTATTTTTTAAGAAAACCTATTGCCTTAAAGGGGTGGTCTACTATGATATAATATTTTTAACTCTGGTTTATGTGTACTGTGGCTCTGTGAACATAAACAACATCTCTGAATGTAATACGCTCAAAGTTGAATGCAAAGGAGACATTAGCTGCGTCCCAAATGGCACACTCTACACTATGCACTCATGCACTATGTACTTATGCACTTACACACTCAACAGGGTAGTATATGTATGTAGTGGCATCCCAAATGGCACACTAATGTTTTTTTTACTAAGCGGAAATTTAAACCGTTTCCCTGATGACGTTTGACGGTTGCCAAATCAGTGAAGTAAACGGCCGAATTATCAAATAATACCTGCCGTGAGTGTTGCCGCAATCACTATCGGGAGGCGCTATAATCACTCTCGTAAAAGAATTTTGCTTTCACCATCCAAATTAAATAAAGTTATTCAACATGTGCGTCCGATAGCTCCGCCCCTTCCGCTATGTAAGCAAACCTGCGGTCGTTGAGTGCGTGAAGTGTCCATCATTACACACTTCATTTTAGCGGCTGAATGAGTGCATCATCCGGGTAATTAAAGTGCACTTATTATTTTTAGAGTTTTCAGTGTGAACGCACTACTTACACTATTTATACTACAAAATGGCATAGAATAGTGCATAAGTATGCGATTTGGGACGTAGCTATTGGCTTTTACTGAGTAGCAAACAAAGTTTGGGGACAACAAAAAAAGTATGTCCAGGCTAGTGGGATCACAAACACTTCAGGTTACCTGCATTTACCATGCGCATACACCCTTGTGTAGCAAAGGGGCGTGGCCAGAGACGCTATAATGTTATAGCACAGAAAGCTAAAATGCTGTCCATACACTGCTATTTCCAAAGAGCTTGTTCTGTTTCTGTATTTGGGCTTCCAGAGGACATGACACAAAGAGAAGAGTGGTTACAATTTAATTTTAATAATGTTCAAGAGAATTATTTAAAAAATAAATAGTTAGCATTTGACAGCTTCCAGAATCTCTTCCAGTTCAGTGCTTGATTTAGCTAGAAGCTCCTATTAAGGTTGGAGAAGCAGCTCCAACCATAATAGACGAACCTGAGGATTGTGAGCCCCAACCTGATATTTTTATTTGTTAAAATTGAACTATTACATGCACAGTTCCTAGCGTTAATGGTATGTTGTAGCAAGGATGTATACAAGGATGTAAACAACTTCCTACAATTTAGGTACAAATTTGTATTTATCTGTCAAACTCCTGTAAACAGCCATAACCTTCAGCATCTCAGCAGTGTCTCTCTATGCAGCCTCTTTCCCTGTGTTCTACATCTCAAACAACAAACTTGCAAAAGATTTGTGAATGTTTTACT